CCCTATCTTGTCTCCCTCTCTTTTTATACGATCCCTATATGCACTTTTTTTTTAATCCGCTTGTAGAAGTATAGGACTGACATTTCTCAGAGTAAATATTTTACCCGAGTCTTTCTTTTCACCTTTACGGACGGCTTTGAGCGCAAGGCAGTGCGGGTCGGAGTAGCCTGAAGGTTAGCAACGATTGTGCGTGGGCGTAAGTTTCTTTTTTTTTCAATGGCACGGCAAAAACGCTGGTGATTTATGGTTAATTTAGGTGGATTTTTTCTATATACCTTGTTTTCCAAACTACTGAAGTGCAAACCCTCGACGCACAGTGACGCGCACGCATAAGGAAATGCATGCGTCGTACAATTAATTGATGGGCTGGGTTTAGTTTTACTGTTACGTCGTTGTCTCTTGCCAGCTCGCGCAGAGTCTGACGCGGGCTAACTACACTACTAGATAGTATGCCAGAGGCGATACACGCCCTGCGTTGCATCTTCTGGTGCCTCCGAAGTACGCAGAGCATGCGGATCGATCCGACTGTGGTAGCCATCCCGTCCGTTGCGTTGGCTTTTTCGCGCTCTAGCTTTGCAACGGAGCAGTTTCAGAGAAAACCGTTCGAAATTTCTGACCTTCATTGCCCGTTCGGTAGGTGGTATCCTTTGTGAGACGAAAGAACACTCGAGAAGTGAGATGAAGAGTAACAGACAGACAGACTGACAGACACACAGACAAACCCAATGAAAAGCACTGAAGTGCAAACCCTCGGCGCACTGTGACGCGCACGCGTAAGTAAACGCATGCGCCGTACCACTAATTGATGGGCTGGGTTTAGTTTGTGTTACTCGTGGTCTCTGGCCAGCTCGCGCAGAGTCTAACGCGGGCTAACTAGATAGTATGCGAGAGGCGATACACGCCCTGCGTTGCAGCCTCCGAAGTACGCAGAGCACGCGGATCGATCCGACTGTAGTAAGCCATCCCGTCCGTTGTGTATTTGCATATTGGCTTTTTCGCGCTCTAGCTTTGCAACAGAGCAGTTTCAGAGAAAACGGTTCCAAATATTCTGACCTTCATTGCCCGTTAAGTAGGTCGTATCCTTCGTGAGACGAACAAACACCCGAGAAGTGAGATTGGGAGTAAGAGACAGACAGACAGACAGACACACAAACCCAATGAAAAGCACTGAAGTGCACACCCTCGGCGCACTGTGACGATCAATCAATCAATCATCAACATACCCTGGGTTTTTACAGGAGTTGTAACACAACACGCACACAAAAAACAAAAATAATGGAACATTGAGAGACATAGTCCGGGGTTTAGGTGAGAACGGCAAGTCTGGTGAGAGGCAAAGACAGCGCTGTCGGCAGCACGAACCAACGGGGCTACCCATCCCGCCATGACATCCAACAGATGCCACATGTTCGTGTCTAGCAGGGCTGAAGTCACTGAAGTTGACTTGCCTGTAACCTCATACCACCGTAGATCAGGGTTGCGGGGGCGATGCAGAGGTGAGATACCATCACAGACTGTCGGCAACACGAACCAAAGGGGCTACCCATCCCACCGTGACGTCCACGATACAGACGCCACGTGTCCGCGTCTAGCAGCTGCCTGTTGCTCGAAATCCCCGGTAGGCACCCCACACCCGTCAGAGGGTCTCCCACGCCATACACACGAACAAAACAGTGTCACTCACAGAGCTAGGGCATAGAAAGACGCCTTAGAAAATACAGCAGTCGAGCCGCCATCTAACCACAATGCGTCATTAGTACGACGCGCGCGCGTAAGTAAACGAATGCGCCGTACCACTAATGATTTAGTTTAGCTGTTACTCGTGGTCTCTTGCCAGCTCGCAGAGTCTGACGCGGGCTAACTACACTACTAGATAGAATGCGAGAGGCGATACACGCCCTGCGTTGCATCTTCTGGTGCCTCCGAAGTACGCAGAGCACGCGGATCGACATGCCCGTTGTGTATTTGCATATTGGCTTTTTTCCCGCTCTTAGCTTAGCAACGGAGCGAAAACCGCACATATTTTCTAACCTTCATTGCCCGTTCAGTAGGTGGTATCCTTTGTGAGACGAAAGAACACTCAAGAAGTGAGATGACGAGTAACAGACAGACAGACAGACAGACAGACAGACAGACACACAAACCCAACTACAGTAACCCTCGCTGCGCATGCGCGCCGAGGGTTAATAAGCATATTCATATTCCTCCTCAATGGGAGAGAAAACCCGTGCGCAGGAGCGTCACCATTAACATTAAGCGCCTCTTGCGGCATACGCAGGCGTATTATATTGAGCCGTCCCGATAAATAGGCGTGGCCAACTTTTGTTTTCACGTTGACCTTTGCCACCCGGTCACGCCCGTTTTTTCTGTAGCGTACCGAAGCAGGCCACTGCGCATAATGGAGACGGACCGTTCGCTCCTAGGTGAGTCGCGCACGAGTTTTCTCTCCCATAGAGAATGTATTGAGGAGGAATAATAATTATGCTAATGGCAAACAAGGTAGGAAAAATCCTATATATAATTATACCTAAATTCACCATAAATCACCAGCGTTTTTGCTGTGCCATTGAAACAAATATCTGAAACATACGCCCACGCACAATCGTTGCTAATCGACTAGGGGCTGAAATGACTCGAGCAGTCGGAGTAGAGATGAGCGGTGTCACGGTGACATGCCTACTGGCTGGGGTCTGGTTCACTTGAGCTACAGAACCGTTTTGCACTGTCACAACACCCTGCGGGCCGATGTAATTCGTAGGAGCTTGACGAGCCATCTCTGCTCTGCATGCAGCCGCCGCGTGTGGCAAAGTTACTACGCATGCGCAAACTGTTGCAGATGTCCTGAAAATGAACAAAGAGGCTTTAGAGACTCTAGTTCAGGAAGCATACATGGTGAGAGACAGTGAGTTCATTATAGCAGATGGTACTGGAAATGCGTACTGTTCTGATGTACCATCGAACTCCTCATCGAAACATAATTTTACTGAAGAGATGCTTGTCACATATGTGGAATACCTGATAGATAATATTTATGTTAGTATAGGTAATAGAATATATAGACAGTGTATAGGGATTCCAATGGGAACGGATTGTGCGCCGTTGGTGGCAAATTTGTTTCTGTTTTACTATGAACATAGATATAATTATAAAGAATATGATAAAAACTAATTTGATTCTGGCAAAAAGATTTAGTAACACAATGAGGTATATTGATGATTTGCTGACATTGAACAACACATCGTTTAATTCGGCCATTGATGACATATACTCAGGAGCTTAAACTAAAAAAACATCTGAATCACCAACAACACTGTCATACTTAGATATATATATAACTATGACAAATGGGAAATATTCCACGGCAGTATATGATAAACGGGATGATTTTAACTTCAAAATTGGAAATGTTCCATATCTAAGTTCCAATATTCCATCTGGACCAGCATACGGAGTTTATATTTCCCAATTAGTACGTATAGGTAGAATATGTAGTGATTACTCGGATTTTACGTTGAGACATTTCAAACTAACGGAGCGACTGATTCATCAAGACGCACAAATTATAATTAAATATAACTACGGCATACGCAAACATGTGGAGGATGGTATAATATGTCTGCCAGCAATGGATAGATTCCTCAGTCGCCATGTGTCGCATAGATAGAATGTATATTTATAGTCACACATTTATTTTGAATAATCTATTTTTAACATTTCTATTTCTACCATTTCTACTATTATTTATATTTTTCTTACACGTGTATATGCTGTGCGTTATTAAAAGTAATCGACAGAACTATTAATCTTATTTTAGGAGTGCTATTTTTTCTATTTTTCTTATATACACGTGTATATGCTGTGCGTTATTTAGAATAATCGCACGTTTTTTTATGTCTCCGTCGTGTCGTCGAGCTGCGTGAGTTTCAGAGTTTTTATATTTTTCCATGAGTTTATTGGTCCTTTGAGGCTTTCTATTTTTCTACCGGCTGTTGTTTTTATCCTGTAGCTGTCGTTTTTTGTACATGATTTCTATCTATTTATTTTCGCTGTGTCTACAGTACCGGTAACGGACCGCGAAATATTGCGCGCTGTAGTACCGGAACAGCGCCCGAATTCAAAGTTACCGCCTACCCGTCGTCCTGAAGAACCGCGGCCGCGATGGCCACCCCCGGACACCCACTACCAGCCTTGTTTCATTCTGTGTTGGCGAACTCTTTCATAGTTTCACCGACCTGGAGGACAAAATCAAGTCTTACAAGGAACAGCACCGCCAGTTCGCGCGGGCGTGTGTGGTATGTCGGTTTCCATAATACAATACAATGTGAAACAACTGCACACAAATGATACACAAAACGCAGATCTGCTACTTGGCTTTTGCAGTGCATGACCTACAAAACCAATTCTTACACTTAGGCTGTCTCACTAATCCAACACATTTGAAATGAAACCAAAGTAAGCACGAATCACAAATAATAGATTGCTCAGAATGGAGGTTGTGGTGACAAGAATGACAGATCCAGGCCATGTGAGCAGATTTATGCTTGAAAACCTCTTGAACCAACATTCAAGCTTCAGTTGTAAAGTGTTTTCGGGCAAGGTGAATGTCCACATTCTCATCAAGAACGGAATCAGGCAACCTCTCAGGCTTACATTCGACATCTTCCTCCTCTATAAGGTCGTTGTGCTTCAGGGCTCTTTCTGCCACTTTCTCATCAACAAACCATGACAATATAACTATTGGATAAAAGCGAAAAGCATAGCCAACACATAAAATAATGCTCGTAACACTATGCTCATAATGTTACCTTTCTCTTTTTCAGACACGTGCAGTTTGCTAAAACTGCACGGCTTCTTGTAACGTAGAAGTTCTTTTCTAGCACGTTTAGCTGGAAGGCCAATCGTTGTTAACCCATGCCCCTTTGGACGTCCTCTTTTCTTGACTAGTGGAGGCACAGTTAGCCCTGAAAGTAAAATATCCCCCTCATATAATTATACATTTGGCCCTTATCACGAGTATGTAAGAGCTAAAATAATACCTAGTGTTCTTTCTTCGTCATCCTCACAGGGATCACAGTTCTGAGGGATTTCCTTGCTGGAGAAACCACTGGGTCCAGGTTGTTCGTCAGATGCATGGTTGCTGGGGTTCTCAGAGTCCACAGAGGAACAAATCACTTCATCGTCACTCTTGTCATTCTCCAGCTCACTTTCTTCATCTATAAATATTCAAGACACACAGAATTGTAGGAGCCACACAACCATTGTTACATACCTGTAACCACTTCAGTGATGGTGACTTCATGTGCACTTTTCCATTGTGAAATGAAATCCCCTAGAAGATCAAGCCGTCGCTGAAAATGCACGTGTGAAGCTTCACTTGCAACTCTGTAGTAAGTGAGTGTCCAACGCTTTTCACAAAGATTTTCATCAAACAGTGGCTTTTCAAGCATGGCTCGCAATGCAAACATGTGCCGGCATGGTAATGACATGGCGGTGTTGAAAGTGCAATTGCAATGTGAAAGACTAACACTCCGCTCACCTTCACTTGTGTGAACAATATAATTATTCATCTCTATTTTCTTTAATGATGCATGAGTAGGTATAATTATGGCTTAGGAAGTACTCCTAATCCCTCTGCCTTTGGCCTTGAACGGTTGCCCCCCGTGAATACAGCAGTACTTCAACTCATAATACTTCAACTCTTCCTTCATTGGCCTTCCCATGCGCTTCCTGGCTGCTGCAATTGTCCTGGCATCCCGCTTCCACAACTCACAAAATGCCTGTTCCTTGTAAGACTTGATTTTGTCCTCCAGGTCGGTGAAACTATGAAAGAGTTCGCCAACACAGAATGAAACAAGGCTGGTAGAGGCTGTCGGTGGGTGTCCGGGGGTGGCCATCGCGGCCGCGGTTCTTCAGGACGACGGGTAGGCGGTAACCTTGAATTCGGGCGCTGTTCCGGTACTACAGCGCAATATTTAGCGGTCCGGTACCGGTACTGTAGACGCAGCGATTTTATAACTATGTGTAAGGGAGGTTGGGACACTGGGTGTGTAGGGAGAGTTGGGCCCATAAAAGACTCGTTAACCTACCGCCCCGGTTCTCAAGGCTGGGCACCCAGGGTCCTGCCTCTTTCTTTCTGTTTATATGTTATTGTCTGTGTTTTTGTAAGCTTGGGTATGTTATTGTCTGTGTTTCGTGTGCTTGGGTGGGGGAGATTCTTTCTTTTCCTCTGAGCTATAAACATGTTTTTCATGAAATTGTCAGTACACACCACCCCCGCCCGCCGCCCATCACTGACCGCAAGCGGAGTAGTTTAGATGTACTTTTGCGTTGAGTGTAAACCGAGGTGAAATCAAAGCCATCCATGAAAGAAACGGCGTCATCTGGGCGCTTTAAGGTATATTGGCGTCTTCTATCTCTCTTCGGACTCGTGGTTGTCGTCGGCATTTACTCTTACCCCAACTGGTTCAGCGCCATTCCGACGATTGAAGCTCGCCCCAGTGTCGCCCACGACGTAAAAGAAGATGTTACAACAGTCCAGCCAGTCACGCAATATATGAGCACTTTAGTGCCGCTGGGGAGTGATGACAATGGTGATGAAAGTAATGTTGAAATGAGTGCTTCTTATGCAAGGATTGTAGCTGCCTATGGCCGTAGTACCCCCAGCAACCATTCCTGCCCTCATCCATCAGCGTTTCACTCCTGGCGGAAACGTTTTATGTCACCAATGGGACCACCTCTCAAGAAAGACTGCAACAAACTGAGACAGAATCCAGCACAAGAAGTAAAGAGTTCTAACTTGAGTCTGCAGCTTAGGGCATGGAGAAAAATTACTCCATGGGTACCATTTGCCCAAAATTACAAGAAGATGAGTTGTGATGAAATCAGAAATGACTTTCATAACAATTTTTATGTGTCAGAAGTCGAAAAAGATTTCCCTATTGCTTACATCCTTGTGGTATACAAAGCAGCAGGCCAAATACTGCGACTGCTCAAGGCTATTTATGAACCACACAACTTGTATTGTATACATCCAGATGCCCGGCAAGGCAAGGATTTCAAGGTTTTTTTGGACAACATTGCAAATTGCCTGGACAACGTGTTTGTGGTGTCCAAGCCAATAGAGGTGTACTATGGCCATATTTCAATCACTGATGCCCAGCTAAACTGCATGCAAGACCTTGAGAAATACCCTCGGTCCAGATGGAAGTACGCCATTAATCTCTGTGGGAGGGAGATTCCACTAAAAACTAACAGAGAGATCGTCAAGTCCCTACACAAACTGAAGGGGTACTCAGCCGTCAACGCATATCCAATACCTGAAGGTCATAAGCGGCATCGTTTCACTTACAAGTTTCACCTCGATGCCCATGGAAATATGCACAAAACTCAGCATAGACAAGCCACACCTCCCAGCGGTATCAAACTCCAAAAAAGTTTGAATTTTATTGCTGCAAGTCGAGATTTCATACAGTTCATACTTCATGCTCCCATCTCTACTGGCCTTCATGGCTATCTTACCACCGTGCTCGACCCAGAGGAACACTTTTACTCTTCACTCTACGTTTTACCTCAGGCAATGGGTGCTAGACCACCAACAGAACTACTGAATAAGTCTGACATCCCAATAGTAGACTCCGTCATATGGGTCTTTAATCCGTCAGAACAGGTACGTAATAAGATCTGCCCTGGAAAAACACAAGTCCACGGCATTTGTATTCTGTCAGCCATGGAGATGCAGAAAATACATAATGTTGCAGTCAATTTGGAAAAGGTGTTCTTCTTTTTCAACAAGTATTATCTGGAGTTGGACCCCACACCGATGGACTGTATGGAGGAGGCACTCTTAGTGGCTAACATGAATGAGTACATAAAAGACTGCCTGCCCAACTTTGGCAAAGACATGCTAACATCTTTTGATTGATGAGACTATATGCGTAAGCATCCACAATTACTATGATAAAAAAATCACTAAGTACGTAGGACATTTTACTGACGCATTAAGGTATTAGACCATGTGATGCCAAGAGAAAAAATGATACGGAGCTCTGGAGAGCTGTTTTGGCCCTCATCAGCAACTTGTCTCTCCGGCATCACGAGTTTATAAGAGCGTAGCACTTGTGGTTGTGCTGACCATGCCCAGACATTCGTGGTTTGGAACCTAGGCCCCTCCCCACTCCTGCTGATCAAGGCCTGTATAATAATTATACCGAGCCAAAACTCGATCCTGACATGGTGCTCTTTTCATTATGCCCACACTTTTGAGATTTTTTCTTTTCACTTTGAGTTTCAATCACATCCTGCTTCTGACGTAACAGTCACATTCGTATTGTCAAAATAAGCACCTAAACCTGAAAATCTATATACCTCCGGTAAAGGCGGTGCCAGTTTACTGGTTGCCCAAGGGCGGGAGCCGAGTGAATAGGGATAGCTACGGTATATAATCCGGATACATACAATATGGCTGCCGTTCCTAACAGTAGGACCATCCTGAAACAGAAGCAACGTTGATTGTCCGTTCAACGCTAAGTTTTTTCTCCGTGTTGAAACCACCGCACCGCGTCAATGAAAGCGCGGGGTAAGCAAGCTGGCGTCTACGCACTCCGCATGTGTGCACCGCCTCGGGCGGCAGGCGCTCAGCTAAGCTCGACAACAATGATTATGATAATCCATGAAAACCACACACAGTTTTCAGTCTAGTTCACTGTCATTTTCTAGGGCAGATAGCCTTGTGCTAAACAATGATGAATTTTCTTCCACAGGCCAGTAGACTCTGTGGGTGTTGGAGAGACAGATTCTGGTCTTTCCAATGCCCAAGACGGTGCATTAGCAGGAGGTAACAGCAATGACGGGGATGACAGCATACGGTCTTTACGTCGGAAGCTACCACTATAATTATTGTCTTTATGCGCGTTTATCCAAACACTGAACCAATTTTTTATATAGTTTAGTTCAATAAATTATTGACTAACCCATGTGGTCGCCAGGTAGACTTCTGTCGGTTAATGAAGTCATTTTCTCTTTCACTCTCTTCAGTCATGCAGTGATGGTCTATATCTGCCCACATTTCCGACTCCCGTGCTTTCTTCAGAACCTTCTTTCTAACCCTCGGTACGCATGCGTAGCGAGGGTTACAGTAGTTGCTTTGTCTGTCGGTCTGTGTGTGTGTTCGTTGAGGGTTGCACTTTAGTGTTTTTTATTCTGGAACTCATGTACATCATTCTGGCAATATCTCTCTTATTGATTCTGTTTTTGTGTATCGGAAACTTCACTTCTGCGTTTTTGGTGTCTTGTCCCTCCATTGAGAATTTCAGATCACAGTGGTATACAAGTTTCACTCTATGCTAAACAACATCCTGTTAGCTGAGTTAATCGAAAACAGACAATATTATGGTGTTTTTATTGTGGTGATTATATGCTAAAATGAAGTGCATCATGGATTCTTCAAACTGGAATCTTTATCTTTCTGAGGATAGTAGTTGTTCAGTTAAAAAAACATTTTTTTGGAAGTATAATGGAACAATGAGAAACATTATCATCAACACATCGCTTACCGCTGACTAAGACACAGATAAAAAAGGAATTTATTCATGGATCATATGGGAACCTTGCAGTCCACCTAAAATACAAATAATATGTAAGGAATAAGGTTGTTTCTCTACTAATGTCTGATAAACGGAAGTACTTTACGGTAACAATCTCAACATCAAAAATCCAAAGTCGCTTTGGAGAACAGTTCGTCAGTTGAGACCCAATTCCCAGCCAATCCCTAATCTATATGCGATGGAAACGACTGTGCATTAACTAGTCAAGAGAAAGCGAATGTATATATTGTCCTCATCCTTTAAGCAGTGCTTTTATTATTACTCCCAACCTCTCTCCTTTGCTCATCTACATTCTTTTTGCATGTCAGTTAAGTGCCCAGGGGAGTTTCTATGTAAGTTCGCCATCTTCTGGAAACGCTAGATGCAACAAAGTCCACTGGTCCGGAGAAAATGGCGGCAAGAGTTTTGAAATGTGTGGAACCTAATATTGCATCATCAGTTAGAAAACGTTTAAATTCTCAATTGGAAATTGTCTCGTATCGTTGCAATCCATAAGTGCAGTCAAACAAAAAATCCACATAGCTACCCCCAATATCTTTATGTTCAATTTAAGACGATACAAGTTCTCTTTAATTTCAGAGCATCTTTGAAACAAAATATAATATCTGACAATCAGTGGGGCTTCACCTCAAACAAGTCCACAACAACTGCCCTCTTGGCTTTGACTCATTACTGGTTTCAACACCTGGAGGCAGGAATAGAAGTTTGTGTTGTTTTTCTGGATTTACAAAAGACTTTTAAATCGGTGCTTCATCGCGACCTTCTTCCACAGAGGAAATGCTGAATTACATTCCATCCTACTTAAGTGGATCTGCAGCTATCTGACTCACAGATCACCGAGGGTGGTGGTGGACAGTGTCACATCTTCTGAAGTACATGAAGATCCCGGTGTTCCTCAAGGCTCTGTCTTGGGACCTTCACTCTTCAATAACGGACATAAATTTAACAACTGGTTGCAAACTTGTGCTCTATGCTATTATAGTATACAAGCCTATAAACAAACATGAGGACTATATCAAAAGGACCTTGATACTTTACAAGTCTGGTCTAATAGCAGCTGGATTATTTTTAAATCTGAAAATGGTAAATACATTGTTATCACCAGGAAGAGGTCAAACTCTCTAGTTTCTCCAGTTATCACTCTTACTTCGTCTGTAATTGAGAGAACTTACTTCTATAAGTATCTTGGTGTCATCATTACTTCCGATTTGTCTTAAGAGTGAGCACATTGACACTATTTGTACTAAAGCCATGAGGACCGTAGTGTTACTATATCGTCACTTCCATACTTGAACTCTGATATAAACCACCAGTATGAGTCTCCTGCAACTCTATGTATCTCTATAGTTCGATATTTTGCTCGAGTATGCTTGCAAGTTTGGCATCCACATCTAGTGAGAGACATTGCTAAACTAGAGCACATCCAGATTGAAACTAGCATTGCGAAAATGAGCAAGATGGAGAATCGAGTGGGGGATCTGATTGCATCAGCAGTGACGTCAGCAACTGGATCACTTGCAACCCAGTTGCTGACGTCACATAGCATGACCGTGATGCACCACCAGAGCCCCCACAGCCCTCCCACCCCCCTACACTGCAACACTTTCCTCCACCCCCGCCCCCACACCCTATCCCTTCTCCCCAGCTCACTCATTTAATTACCACACTCCTGAGCTGCCAGACCCTTTTCCTGGTCACAGGGGATACTCACCCTGCCTCCCTGGACCCTCTTTGCCCTCAGGGCCTCCTTCCCATACATTTACCCCTCCACCTTGTCCACCCCCACCCTCTCCCACTCCCCAGAGACTTCGTCCGTGTGAAGAAGTTGTGAGTGAACTCAGTGACTGGCTGGCTCCAGGAAGGGTGGGTTAGACTGGCAATTAAACTGGCCAAAGAATGTGTATACAGGGCAGATATGATGGCACAGGGAAAGCTAAGCGAGGAAGGCCGAATATTCTTTGCAGCCGCCATCTCTCCGACATCTCGGAAATGGAGTTTAAGAACAGCTCTGGAAGCCAGCCCTCTGTGCAATGCAGAGGGCTCGGGGACGAGCGAAGAAGAAAAAAAGGCAGCCAGTTAGTAGAGAAGCAGACAGTCGACAGTGAACTTTTTATAGCTACGTATGCACCACGTTAACATGCGCTTCATTTATTACATAATACTTCACTGCGCATGGGCCACACATCAATAGTGTAAAAAAATCACCACAAAGTGTCTAAGTACATGTAATAATCTCAACATTCAGTAGCTATGTATCCTGTGCCTCTATTTGGAATTCAATCACTTTAATTTGGGATAGCTTTCTTTAAGAAGTGTCCAATGTATTTCTGACAATTTTGTTTAGTAACTTTTCCCAAAATTTCTTAATTCCTTCCAAAAGATTTTTTGGCTTCATCTCTCTACAAATATATTCTTTAAGTTCATGCCAGAGATTCTCAATGGGATTAAGATCAGGAGACTCTGGTGGTGTCTTTCACCACTCAATCCCATTGTCAGCAAAGAATACTCTGGCATATCTGGAGGTGTATTTGGGCTCGTTGTCCTCCATTAATGAATAGTTACCGTCAGGGTAGAGCGTTTGTGCTGCTCTTAAAATTCGCACGTATAATTGTGCATCCATTATTCCATCAAAGATCACCAGATCAGTATGTCCATTCATACTAATACCAGCCCAAACATGTTTTCGCAGGATTTTTTGGTCCGAAGAAAAGAATAAACAACACAGTTGTACATAGACGTATATACGTACATGTAAAAATAACAGCTCACGCTTTACTTACATACTATATAGAAAGAAGTGTGAGAAGGGCTGCTGGGGCTTGACTTGACATCTACAGAGATAAAACACAAACACAAACCGTACGTAAGGTGACATGTATGTATGTACATATACATTCATACGTGAACATTAGGTGATATGCATACTTTGGTTTTGGATGGGCTTTTCTCCACACTTCCTGCGGCTAAAGCGACGAGTTGGACTGTGGTCTCATCGTCCATATCGCTGAAGTCATTATTTTGATTTTCCATACACCAGGATAACCTTTATAGCTCATTTGGCTATATTATTAGCTGACAGTAGGGCTGCTCCACGGAAAGACCACCAGAGTCTTTAGCGACAACGCAAGATAGTGCTACGAGAATAGGATCTAGCTCAGCAGTAGTTGTCTCATCATCCTTTTGCATTTGTTCTTCTATTACATATTTCACTCTTTGTGTCACCTTACTTGCTCTCCCAGTTGAAGGCTTTCTGAGAATGCTTCCTCCTCTTCTCAGTTTTTGAAGAAGTGATGCGGACTTAGGATAATAGGTGAGCCCTTCTTTAGGTAGTGCCTTAATGATGGCAGTGCCTTTAAGCCCCTTTGCTGCTTAGAAAACAGCTCGTTGTTTCGTGTAGAGAAACTTGTCCATTGCCGAACAAAACATGTATGACTAAGCAGGTAAGTACACCGACCTTTATGCGTACGATGTACAACATCAGATAAGCTATGTAAATGATTTGCACAATTGAGGTTCAGTTGTATATACTTGCATGTCGATACAAGAGAAAGGTGCTGAAAATTTATAGCCCATTTTGTTTAAGCTGTTATTGTATAAGACATTAAACAAGGTGGTAGAGTTCAAAAAGTACTTGCATGGGAAAAGTGATGCTGGGTCTAGATTAATGTTTAAGTTCAGGTCAGGCACGCATGGGCTAAATGAGGAACTGGGTAGGCATAGGAGGAGGGAGGGGGTGAAGGAGTGCCTGTTGTGTGATGATGAGTGTGAAAGTGTGAGTCATGTGTTGTGGAAGTGTCCAGCATAATAATTATAGTAGTCTTAGGAGCAATTTCTTAGTTGCCCTGCAGGGGAAGCTTGGGGATGATGGGTTTGAGCATTTCCAGTCGCTTGATAGTTTCAGGAAAGCACCCTTTATATTGGGTAGTGAACTGTGGGAGGATAATTTTGGTTCTTTGCTTGGCCTTGTTAAAGATTTTATTTTGGATGTTTGGGAGCTAAGAAAGGTTAGGTTATACGGCGATAATCCCAGCGTACGACAGACCCAGTCTCAGATTGCGTCTGGGGAGCTGCAGGGTGTCGCTGGTGGAAGGGGTGAGTTGAGGTGTCTGGGAGGTGAGACAGACACCTCATGTTCATATGGTGTATGTTCGTTTGTTAACGGTTCCGCCCATTGCTCTGGGTGCGTGGTCTATGGCCCTAGTGCTATGGCAGCCACCTGAGTATTATTATTATTGTTTAATACAAGTGTTGTGCAAATCGTAGTGCAGATGTCTTGTACGCAATGGCAAAGAGCACAAAAAATTGTTGTCAATTGAACCAAGATTTTTTAAAAACAACAATTGTGTTATCCAGGTACCGACTCAGCAGGCACACTGGAAGCACTGAGAGTTTTTTTAGAGTTTTTGGTGTTGGTTATGTTTTTGTGGTGATGTCAGTTTGGGGGAGTGCCAATGTTGAAATTTGTTGTTGTTGTGACGATGTCGAATTTTTAGGTTTGTGGTGAAGTTTAAGGGACAAGTAGAGGGGAAACGCTCCAGCTGTATTCAGAGTGTCAGGGACAGGGGTACCAACAACACCAATAAACCGCCAAATGAGGGAGCTGGTGGTTGCACTTTGTTCTGGCTTCCTTGATGATGTTCAGCTTAACTTGCTCCGACTTGGCATAAGTCGTTTGAAGACTTCTTTCATAATAGAGAAAAATGCCTAGTGTCGTGATGGTAATACGCATGCGTACCAAGTTTCATCTCCATGTGCGCTGCCGTTAGTAAGTTTGAGGAGTGAACAGTGCTTGAAGCTATTTGATGTTGTTCCAACAATATGTGGTCGTCATGGAAACATGAAGTTGTCATGGAAATGATGAAACATGCATGCATACGAAGTTTCACCTCCATGCGTGGTACTGTTACCAAGTTTGAGGAGAAGTGTCTGAAGCTATCTGAACAATAATATTATTATGTAGTCATCATAGAAACATGTATATAGTTGTCATGGAAATGATGTAATACGCATGTGTACCGAGTTTCACCTACATGCTGCAGTTAGCAAGTTTGAGGAGTGAAGAAGTAGTTTTAAAGAAAATTGCCTGAGGCTTTTCACGGTCATCATGGAAACATGTAATCGTCATGGGAACGATAAAATAGGTATACATACCAAGTATCATATCTATGCGTCCTACCATTGGGAAGTGAAGAAATTGTGCCTGAGGCTATTTGTTGTTATTTACAAACATGTATATATTGTTGTGATATTGATGTTGGCTATTGAATACATTACGTAACTTTCGTTCACATAGCTCTTACCAAGAGTGAGTTACACTGACACACGTAGTATTATATGCCCATTATAATGTATTGCTTGGGGCAATTTTGTTGTTGCTACAGTAAACAACAAAATTGTTTACAAAGATTAACGTTGCACATGATGGTTATGGGTATAATGTACATACCCCAAAAATTTCAGGACTTTCCCTCTTTCGGTTTTTGGTTGAAGAAGACGATGAACAAAACTCCCTATCCTAGCCCCATACATCTATGATGCTAGGTACCACACCCATCCCTATATACTAAGTACGGTAGTATTAAGTGATTAATTCCCAGCAAGAGTGCGCACTTTAACGACGCATTTACGCGCACCCGCGCATGCGTGAACGCCGTATAAAATTTGAAGTGTATGGTCAGATGAAGCGTGCTCTAAAAACGCAGCTGTAGCTCAAAAACCACAAAACCTTTGTGGGAGAAGTTAGAACCCTAAGAGCACGTGCTCCAACTTGATGTGCAAGATGGCCGCTGGTCTTTCCCAAGATCCTGCGGGACAACTCCAGCGGTAAGTGAATTGCGTTAAAAGTAGCGACTATTTTCAGTATGTATCAACAGCCTGGGCTCTTCTTTGGCTGTTTTAGCAAACGCACGAAGGTGTCCTTTTCTCTAGGCATGCTATAGTACCATATACGTACCTGGTACATTATGGGCTGATGCTACCGCAAAGGGTGAAGGGCTTCGCGTGCAGACTGCTGACCAAAAATATCACCTTGCGACGTTTCGATCCCTGAGGGATCTTCTTCAGGCAAGTGGCATGCAGACGCTGCCTATTATAATATAGCTAGATGTATGATTCATTCTAACATGTTTATTGTCAGGTCTTGTACCAGGCAGATGGGGGCTGTCCACGATGGTGTTCTTTGGGTGCCTACTTGTCTAGGTTAAGCCCCTCAGGAGACAGAGTTCTCAAAGTGAATATCCAAAAACTTTCTCGTTCTCTCCTCCGTAGAGTGCCTCCATGGTGGATCTTCTCTATACCTCTTACTTGTACATCTTTTGTGTGGTTGTCTGGTTGGCAGAAATGTGCTGCTACCGGTTTATCAGTTTTTTTGGTCCGGATATCTGAGCGATGTCCATTCATCCTAATGTGTAGAGGCTGTTATGTCTCTCCCACGTATTGTAGATTGCACCTTTTGCATGTTATCAGATATACGAGGTTGCTCGGCCACCGGCAGGACATACAACATAAGAAGCGAGATGACATGCATATCGAGCAACCTCGTTATATATAGAGAACATTGGATATTCACTTTGAGAACTCTGTCTCTTGAGAGGCTTAACCTAGACAAGTAGGCACCCACAGAACGCCATCGTGGACAGCCCCCATCTGCCTGGTACAAGACCTGACAATAAACATGTTAGAATGAATCATACATCTAGCTATATAATAGGCAGCATCTGCATGCCTGTGTATTCACTTGCCTGAAGAAGATCCCTCAGGGATCGAAACGTCGCAAGATGATATTTTTGGTCAGCAGTCTGCACGGGAAGCCCTTCACCCTTCACCCTTTGCGGTAGCATCGGCTTATAATAGACTCGTATATACGGGCTTCGGTTGGAGAAATTGGTTGTTTTTGGGACCAGACTAAAAGAATATTAACATACGTACCCGGTAGTTTCGTGAGAAAGGCTGGAAGCCGACGCGTATTTCACCCACGCGGCGTGTATGTCTTCTTTCTCTGTCCCTGCAGGTGACGTCCTGGAGCCAGCTGCCACTTGCAGTGTGTTGTACCACAGCTAGCCTTTTGCCTACATAGCCTACAGAGCTAGCCTAGCTATTCTACGAACAGCTGCACGCTTTTTTCAGTGCGTTGTCATCACAAGCAGCACACACGCAGCAGACGGTGTTGTTTTAGAGAGTGTTTATTGTTGGCAAATGAAGAGTTTTGATCGTTTGCTACATGGGAAGCAATGTGGAGTACATGAGTATTATCTGTGCTGAAGCAGCTCCTTCGCTAGAGAGGAGACTCGTCGTTGTGTGCGCGTGGGATGTCAGCGGTTATTTACTGGAGTTCTTGGAGATCGTTTGTATGACGAAGGGTTCAAAGGTTGCTGAATGGGAAGCCCCACCCTTCTTGTCAACGCAACAGCTGTCTATGTTATCATACGGAGGCGCTAGCACCGTCTTCTCGGACTATACTAAATTTGCGGTTAAAGGGGGGTACGCGGTATTGCGCAAATATGCGTCTTCGGTTAATGATACTATCGTATCACTCAATATTATGAAACGTATCATCATTGCTACATGAAAATTGAACTTGTTACCCCTCGGCAAACAGTTTTCACTGTATACCAGCTAGCTAGTATTCTCCTCTTATGAAGAAGTGCATGTTAATGCACTGACTGTTCTTTCCTTGGGCATGAAGCACAAACTCTGAGCTAAGGATGCATAACCTGAATCCCCCCTCACTAAGCTGTGGGACTCAGCCAACAAAATCAGCTCAACCCAAACACTGAAAAAACTTAGTTTAAGCTGGGCCTTTGTCTTGTGCTGCAGTTTCTTCAGTTCGTCCAAGTGGAGAACAGGGCTGTCTAGGCACCTGATTCGACCTCTGTATTCTGGCCCAACCATACCTCTTACTTGCTCTGAATCTGTGGCTAAAAAGATGGAAGCTTCATTACCAAAGTGTTGAGTGGCATATCGATAGGCACAGAAAATTGACTCGTTCCATTGCCAGGGTTTTGCATACATCTTGGGATGGTACTTCTCATGCTGGTCTGAGCCTTTGAATCCCGTCCTCACATGTAGCCCCACATATCCCATGTGTTCAAGTCCTAGCACTCTGCGAGCTGCCCTCACCTCTTGCATGAGATAAGGTGAAAATCTAAAGAGGTATCGAAAAGCCAGTCCAATTAAGTCAATGTCTAGGTCATGTACAGAGCACTTGTTGAGACTTAGAGAGGCCATGCCATTCTTGATCCATTCGTATGCTACTGTCTTTGAATCGTATGCAAGAGTACTAGGCAGCATGTTAGTACTCACAGCAACCCGTTGTAAACTTTCCTTCTTTGTAGCATCCAGCAATTTGCGCAAGTTGTTAGGAGTTTCATCTCCTCCACTTTGGTTAAAACCGTTCGAGTTTTAATGTAAAAGTGGTGATTGTCTTGTAAGTATGCTTTCTCTTTTTCCTCTTGCATGAGATGCCAGTCAATGGCATTAGGCTCCAGGAATGCCAGCTCACTAAGTCCTTGCTGGGGACCCCAATCCAGGTGCAAAACTCTTCGTGAAAACATGGCCAGCACAAGGGCATAAGTAATGCCCCTTATCCTGTCCGCAATTCATCCGCATCCATGATCACACACCCACAATAGTCGCTTTGCTGAAGGTTTCTTCCTTTCAAGTGCATGAAACACTGTATAGTTCTTTAGGGCTATCAGGAACTTGGAAAATGTCTTCCCTAGCTCCTCTGTCTCGACGAGAGGGCGACTCTGGCAGGTGACTTGCAGGGCATGCAACACTTTCAGCACATCATCAACGTCGGCGTCCTTCGCAGTAACTGACAGGAGCTTTTCTCTGTGGCTTTCGTTGCCCTCACGATCCACTACATTGCTGCCATTGATAAACGCTCCGCCTCCACACGGCTTCCAGAGGAGTGGAGTCGACTCCATCAGTTCCTCTATAGATGGTAACTCCACCCCATGGAAAAAGAGAGAGAGCTCGGGGCCTCCCGAATACAGAACGACGATGGTGAAAAGAACAAACGTTAGAAATAGACGAACTTTGTTAAAAAATAGCCACTTTGGCATCCTAGCCAATACAGATGGGCGGTGATGCACCTCTTTAACCCGTAGCGTCCAAAGAGAGAGAGCTCGGGCCTCCCGAATACAGACCGACGATTGGTGAAATTGTGAAAAGAACAAACGTTTAGAAATAGACGAACTGTGTTCAAAACTAGCCATGGGCATCCCTAGCCAATACAATGGGCGGGTGTGCACCTATTTAACCACGTGAGGTCCAAACGAATCTGCTGAGTGCGCAACTCTGTGTGCCGCTAGCCACGCGCCTGGCGCCTGGAGCTTTTGCTTGAACGCTGTGGTAAGGATAATTCAAATACAAGGAAGAGCAGTTGGTGTGTTCAGCGATAGCTTTGTTAAACACAATAGCAAGTTTTACACTTGCCTTGTGGTTGCGGTCTTCCGTTGCATATGATGTTGGTAGCACATGTGACGTGCACGTGCACCCTGTATGTCAATGAACAACACTGCACCCAATCCACATACACTTCTGTTGTATCATCATTTTGTTTAAAACAAACGTTTCACTTCATAGGTAAAATGGGCGTAACTTGACTTCTCTCCAGTGTTTTTATTGCCATCATTGCGGATGTGACGTGTTTTGATGCAACATTTAATGTTTTGACAGTTTCTTGCTAATTCGTTCAGCTTCTCTCTCTCTCTCTCTCTCTCTCTCTCTCTCTCTCTCTCTCTCTCTCTCTCTCTCTCTCTCTCTCTCTCTAGGAAGGACAACCTTAGAGTCAAGGTCTGCCTTCCAGACTGCATCGTTCTCAAACGTCTGTCTGTTAGTGACATCAATCACCACATAGCACGAGTGCAAATTAGTGGTATTCTGATCCTTTGTTTTACTGTTTACACATTTGTCTGTTACCATTTTCATGTTTACACACGGTTGCATGGAGTAGAGAGTCCATGCACGTACAAGAATACAAGTGTATGCACACCATACAGCATAGCCTGCAATTGCATACCTTGTTACTACACACAGAAGGATTAGTTTCAGATCCATGTATCTCTTTTAGTTATTGGGAGTTTTGGTGCTTGTATATTTCAGATACTCTGCGAGTAAACTCTCCCTTCTTGACTTTAGTTAGGTGGTCAAAAACTCTCTTTAGCTATTTTTAGTAGTGTACGGAGAAGAAAGTGAATCCTTCTGTTTGCTTATGCTGTAAATAGACAACCTTAACCCTTAGCAAGCCAAGGGCATATATATGTGATAGTAAGAAAATGCGTGTTTATCGCCTATACACACGAAGTAACATTACATAATCAGAGGGCTTATGTAATGTTACTCTGTGTGTACATACCGATAAGCATGTGGTAGGGATTGTTCTTACGAGCTTGTATCCTGGAAACGGATAATCACCACGGCAACGTGACGTCAAACGTTTAGCGCCTAGTGCGTTTGTCGTACGTGCAGTCGCCCCGTTGAGTGGCAGCTGGCAATGGCGGAGCTAGCGAGAGACCCCGACTTCATATCTCCTAAGAAGCGAAAGCGCAGCGATGTTGCTAGTTCTTCTAAGAGGTTTTAATGTCTGAGGAAGAATTGGTCAGTATCTCGAAGCCGTTTGTTCCTGGAAACACTAAAAAGAACAGCGATTGGACTCTTACCGTCTTTCGGGAGTAGCGAAGTTATCGTAACGCAACGGTCTCAGAAGGAGAGCGGCAGTGTCAGAGTGACATTTTGGAGAACGCTAACGTGGAATAGTTGTTATCTCTTTTTGTGTAGGCGAAATTCGAAACAAGAGTGGCAAGCCGTATTCACCAAAATCCATCCACCAAATTCTCTGCACTACTATCCAAAGATCAGCGGAAGAAATTGAAGCAGAATTTGACACTCTAGTTAGTAGAGTTCTTTGACTGTGTATACTGTGTAAATTCCTCTCTCATGCTAATTGCATTCCCTGATACACTTCCCTATGCATTGCGCGTGGGCAGGGTCGAAGAACCCTCTGCTATACAAATGCGCACATCAACTAATTCCATTCCCTATACACTTCCTTCGTTATTGCGCGTGGGCAGTATGGGTAGCAGCTAACTCACTCAATACATACCGCGGTGCGCTTTGATGTTAGGCCTAGCCAGGATACAAATATATATATAATTTATATGTAATATGCCCAGAGCCACCATAAGTCCATAACGATTAATATATGGCTATAATACTAGGTGTTAATATGTTATTCATCAATTTCTGCTTATATAAGGAGATATCCATGGCATCAAAAGGGTTAAGTGTCCTATGGAATGACTCTAGGAACATGTTACTATTTCCTATCGTTCTAGCACGAAAGCAAGAGGCCATTCGGTTGCAGTAATGCTATCGGTTCTCTGTTGAATCTAAGGAAGAAACTAATTGTTGTATGTAGGAGATATCTCCTTTGCCTTACCTTTCTACCTCGTTACCTCGTCATTGACACATGTACATACATGTCCTGGGTGTAGTTGATTTGTTTGCTTTGCACTGCCTTTTTATGGCGGATGATGCTCAGCAGTTTTACAATGCTTGGAGTGGGGTGTTTGAGACCAAAGGTACCAAAAAACTGTTGCGTGCATGGCATGTTGATCGTGCCTGGCGTGCTGCACTAAATGAAAAATCAGCAGCAAAGAGTTGAGGTACACCATCAATTGAGGCTAATGGAAAACGAAGAAAGGGCGTTTAACATGATAGGAAGCCTAGGATGTTCACTTTTGTTGCATGCGCTCATGTGCTCCAAGCTATTGTGGATAGGTATGTTTGTATACCTCTGCTCAGGTATGGAGGACAAGTTTGCAGTCAACGATCAGTTCACCTCAAAGCTGCACAGGCTCAAGGTGCAGGCGGTGGCATCTCAAGGAGAGAGTGACCATGAGGAAGGAGACGAGACAGAAAGTCGACGATGACAGAAAACATGAGTATCCCTCACAACTAACTAGAGGAGCGCAACACATTCTCGGCAAACGAAGCGACCAGTTCAATTTTTCACGTACATTTAGAATCAAGTTATAGTGTGAGAGAGTGTCCTTGGTTTGTTCAGGTGACATCGGTCAAGGTTGATCCGATCATGCGCGGAGGAATTCGCCGGTTCACCAATATGATTGGTGAGCCGATTTGTCGTATTCGTGCGTTTCAGTGAGGTAAAATATCTCGCGTATGGGCCGTCGTATCCACGTAAAACAAACGCGACCGCATTCTACTGTCTCTGAGAATTGCAGCAATGTATTATAGTCCCGGTATATTATACATACGTCACAAAATGCGGTCAGTACTCGGGAAGCAGATATTTTGCCCCCAAGACTTGCTCAGGTGCTTGATTTAAAATCTCCTCTTGCTCTGGTTGTAGTATCTATTCCAAAGGTATGCAGATATTAAGAGGGTGTATAAATATAGGTTTCATTTCGTACCTAGTTCCTTAGCATAGGTGAAATGAGCTGTGAAGTGTATGATACTTCTAGGTTATAAGGGTAAAGCGCTACCTTATAACAGGCCGATTAGCTCTTTTTATATGTGCCAGGCACTGCACATACCGTAATGTTCAATCTGCTACGGTACCCTTATGTATACTAGGTAATAAGGTCAATGAATAGTTGTGGTCATGTAGTTTTTAGAGTACGTACCTCCTGTGTGTTTCAAGCCTGAACCGCGCCACCTTGAAATGAGTAGGTGGGCTCGCTTTGCTTGCCAGTTACACTGTGTCACCTAGTGGCTATGCCCTATAATGCAAACACATTCTATGGTGTGTTTGTTAGTGGCGACATTGTCCTTGACACTGTGTCTCAGAATTGAAGCTGCTAATGAAGGCCAGGAAAAAAACTGGCACATCAAGTCTTAGTCGCTGAAGTAAGCATAATGTGTATTCTGCTGCAGGATATATAATTATGTGTATACATATGCACTGTATTGTAGCACTCTCACACATCACGACAGCCCCCCACATCCTGTGGGATGCCCACGGAAATGTGCACGTGCTGTTGAGGCGTGACCAGAGAGGCTGAACAAGAGACTGCACCTCATTGATCAACGCTCTCAGCGTCAGTGTGTAATTTGTCATGCTGCAGGGAGAAAAACCAGGCCATTCTACTACTGCAAGACCTGCCCTGATATGAATAAATACAGACGGTTCGTTCCTTGAATTTGACCTTCAACAAATTGAACGTCAATTGGTCCCATCACAGCCTCTGATGTTTCATGATGTCTTGACGACCTTGCTCCTCTGATGGACATGATTGAAGCTCTTAGCAGAGCAAAACTCAACTTGCAGCGAATCCAGTTCATGGTTTGAGTGTACACCGTGTTCTTTTTCTCACTGATCATGGAAGCCGGCCTCTTGTAGAATGTGGTTGCAGCTTTGCCCATACCTCCAGTTGTTGACATAACAAGTGGAGTGAAAGTAGCACGTTCCACTTCCCGTACCCTCTCCTCATACTGTCGCTTCTTTTCTTGCTCATGTCGCCTGTACACAGATGCAAGAGGTCTCCTGCGATTCGAGTGGGCACACCCTGACGTTTACATATAGCAACATCGAGGCAGGCTATGTCCTCGGTGACAGCTGTGTTGTGTGCGACATGACTTCACCTGTAAGTGGCTGAAGGTGCTGTTCAATAGTCACCCCGTGACATACTTCTGAGAGTAAGGAGGCTGTGATATCTCGCAACTCCTTATGCCTACTGGAAAACCACCTATTTTGCAGGTCAGAGCATGATCAATATTGAAGGGGTGGCCACAGGTGCAGTGAGAAGGTGGATTCGACCAGCCATACCGGAGAGAGAGAGCATCTCTGAATGCAGACTCGTACGAGGCGAACCCGTGATCATCAATTGGCAGTGAGGAAAGCCAGGTTGATGTTCCTTTCTCCGGAGATAGCTCCATTGAGCATTGCAGAATAGATGGAATGGATTTGGAGGTTCTTTGCTTCTACATTTTGCTGCATGTGTTTGCGATGGGGAAGTCCATAAATCGTACTGCACATCATTCAAGTAGCGTGTCCATTATTCACCTCTGCCTATTATTCCTAATGAAATTCCCGCATAATGTGTGTGTCCCTAAAGAACGATGGCTATCCCAGCATGTACATGAAAGCAGCACGCAGCTAAGCGATTACTCATTACTATTTGTACATGAGTGTGTGCTGAGAGCCACTCACTTTTCGGAGCAGAAAACTTACCGGAAGTCTTGTTGCCGTTAGCTAACTACGTGGAGGAATTTTGCACGTATACATTTTCCATTGTTCAATAGTTTTCTGTATCCGCAGAATGCAGAATGCAGAATGACTGATCCGTGCTAGCATTTCAATTCATGTGTTTATGATCATGCTCATTTGACAGTGAGATTACTTTCTCATGTTGCATGGGGCTCACTTCCTCAGCGCACCATTTGTAGCTTTCCCTTTGGTGCACTTACCCAGAGAGCAATGCGGTTTGTTTTCATCCCACAGGTGGAGCTGATTTTAGTTTTTTCCTCTGTTCTTCTTTTTCTGCACTCTTCACATATTCTTTCAGCCTACCTGGCGGGGGTCGGGAGTGAGACATGTGGGTAATTAGTAATCCGTGCTATCGCTCCACACTCAGCTACACAGAAAACGTTTCCCGCAGGATGAACTTTGTGCCCTAGAATTTGCGAGAGCAGCAGGTTCACAAGTGCATACTCTTCCATGTTGTATTTCTCCCGCCATGGGGATACGAGGCCAGTGTTCTGCAGCCCTGCTATCCCTAGCTCTGAGTTTCAATGCGGGAAGCGTAATATACGCTGTCGGACCCACCCCCTTCCCCGCGGGAGGCATATGTATGCGCTCTGCCATGTGTCCGCATACATCCTCCGCTTACCTGTGGCGGGCGTAGTCTCAGTTGTTCACAGCTTACAGAACAACACAGCTTCCCTCCCCCCCGCCTGCGCACGAGAAAGCGGCTGCCTATTTCCGCCGCTATACCGTTATAGTTTACTACGCTCGGTACAGGCTAGTTCAGCTTGCGTTTGCAGAACTGAGGCCCTACTCACGCTGTATACCTTTTCACAGTCTCGCAGAGTGCAGAAATTTACGCCTACAACCATCGCTTGCGTCTTTGCACGCACGCGCATGGCGATTGCCACGCATTTCTGCGCATGCGCTGAAAGGGTTAACCACGCTTTGTTTCTTATTTCAGACGCAATATAAAAACATACCAGGCAAACATACCAGGCAACAATCACCCAAGTTTGTCTCCATCCAGATTGACGGCCACAGATTTGTTCGTGTGTGCATGCTTTACCACGTTATCTCCCTCTGACAGGAGGGTAGATGAAGTGGATAACTTCGCAGACATAAATAATCCTACTAACCTTGATGCGGAAGTAGTCACTTTTTTTGATGCAGTTGTTGACAGGGGCCAATGGATGGGAAGGCAATATTGTGTCAGTTACTTGTAGTAGAAGCTGCACCAATGTAGGTGTTCTTTTTCTAACGTGTGTACACTGTGCCCTAATTCCATGTTTTATAAGCGAAGACCACTGCCATCCTCATATACTAAGTACTACCGTACTTAGTGATTACTGGCGATTGCCCAATAGACCAATGCTTAATTAACATGTGCTTTCTTTAGGTAGGTATTAGGTAGGTATACAAAGCTTGGTCCTAAGGCAGCAATTCTCTGCTGTTGAGTCCTGTGTAGTAGCGCTAGACGAGCCTCTCTCCCCTCGCTGGACGTCACTCGACGGAAATTCACCTTGTCTGATAGCTTCTGATCTGTTGGAGCCTGGCCGGTTGCGTTTCCTCTGATTCCGCAGCACGTCTAGCTCTTGCTCGTACACGACTTCTCGCTAGTCGTGCTTCCCTTTCTTCCGCTGTTTTTCCGTGGGGGGCAGCATGGGCTTTTTTGCCCTTTGGTTTCATTTTCTTCTTTTCTTTTTTTTTTTTTTTTTTTTCCCCCC